GATGAAGATTAATGAACAAAGTGACCATCTCTTGGTGGCAAGTGAAAAGCATTGTTTAGTGGAGTGTATAGGAAACGTTTCAAGTGTTTCCAGTCATTTATTGTAAGTAACGTGTAAACCCATTGTTGACTTTTTTCGTTAAATAAGTTGTGTGAATTACTTTGATATAATTCACTGTGCAGGTATTGTTTGTATAACTCACTGTGTGGTTTCTAGTTGTATAATTCAATTCGTGGTTTCTGCCTGTATAATTTATTGTGTGGCTTTTGTTTTTATAATTTATTGTGTGGTTTTTTTTGTATGAACTTGCTACAGCTTGAAAATTATGTTGAAAAATATGCACATGGCCAATAACATCGCAGCAGTTAAATGAAAAAAATCGTGAAAACAGTAACATCTGAAACCATTCTATTAAAAATAGTTGATTCCAAGAATAAATGGAATCAAACACTTTCCTAATATAAATTTTTCAAACGTTCAACAATTAATATTATGTAGGGAAGTCAAAAAATAGCTGAATAACAAAAAGTTAAATTGACAGACTTACAGAAACGAACAGAAATATTGAAAATTAAGGAAACATTGCCATTAATGAACAGATTAGTAAATTTGAAGTTGATATTTCAGAAATGAGACAGAAAAAACGAACCTGCCCTGTAGATCAGCTCATCCAAATCTTCACTCTCAGCATCAGTTGATTCTCCGGTTTCGAAGCAATCCTCTTCATCGACTATCAGTTGCTTGCACGATGCTGATGTCATCCTGGTTGCTGAAGCAGCACCTGGCTCCTCCCTCTCCATCTTTTCAACTCTACTATTCACCTACCTCTATCTTTCTGTAAGTGAAAAAAAAGTATCAATTATGAATTGCAAGCAATTAATACAAAATTACCTTGAGCTAACTGGCACTTATAAATTAAATTTTAGCAGATCTAGGTATATATATATATATATATATATATATATATATATATATATATATACGTGTGTGTGTGTATTAGTTAAATATAATATACATATATAAATATATGTATATATATATAAATATATATATATATATATATATATGTTTGTGTGTGTGTGTGTATACAGATATAAATAATAAGTATGTGTGATATGCAAATACAGTGATAAGAATGAGTTGAAATCAAAAGAAAAATTTCACCGAAATATTATTTGAGCCACTTGACGCTCTGCCTGAGAAACAATGACAGCAGAAACTGAATAATAATATTGTTCAATGGAGTAATAAAATGAGCCAATAAATGCACTCAGGTGTTGTTCTCACAAATGCTGGCAAATCGAGCTCCACTTCCTACTCAATAAAACATTGTCATTAACACTGTATGCTCTAAACAAGAGCCAGCAAAGAGATTTGTCATATATAAAATGTTATAACATTTCATATATGCAAATGAAATAAAAAATTAAAAGTATCCAAAAATAAACACACACACACACACACACACACACACACACACACACACACACATACGCATAATCCTTGACCATTGTTAAGTTATGAAACAAGATGATTTGCTTAACACACTATATAAGAAATGTTAAAAATAGTTATTTGAAAAAACCAGGAAAAAATCTTGAGTACTTCCTTCTTAATAATATTTATATGTATGTTATATATGCATTATATATTATACATACACAAATATATGTAAGTACTAATAACTTATAATTAATTGCAAATTACTGCAAAAAAATTTAAAAAAAGGACATATTATAAATAAACTTTATTATAATTTATATTTATATATAAATTATAAAGTAAAGATTTTTTAAATTTATTTAATATTAATAAATAAAAAAAATATTATTAAATTATAGTTGTTTTATAATTACATTATATTATATAATTATAATATTGAATATTTAAAATTTATTTTATTATTATTTATCAATATTTTAAAATTAAATATTATTACTATTAATTATAATTATTTATTTATCTATAGAATAGACCTCTATAGTTATAGTCTATATGAAATACAAAATTAGTTAACTTTTAAAATAAATTATTACTTAACAATGTTAATAAAATAAAGCTAGTAAAGTATATTAATCAATTAATTAAGTATAATAATATAAATAATAATAATTAATTACAAATGTTACAAAAAAATAAAAAAAAAAGTTAAAACTCCAGCAGGCAAAAAAAGAAGAAACCAAAGCATTACGAACGGAAAAAAAAGAAATATTAGTAAGGAGTATTTTGAAAAATAAAACCAACCTCTTATTTGATATGAAATCAAATTTAATTTCACAAAGCAAAAACTCTTTCATCGGATTGTCATTTAAAAATAAATAATTCATTCACGCTGTTTGAGACGTGAGTGAAGCAGCAGGTGCTCGTCCGAAGCAGGTAAACAATAAAATCGGCGTATTCAAAATTTTAAATTTAATTATATCTCAACTGATAATTGAGCTGCGAGTGAAAATCATATACATGAATTATAATAAATAAAGCGGAACAAAAGTTACAATTAATTATAACATACTAAAATAAGAAGTTGTAATAAAAAATAGCTTGTTTACTAAACTAAAATAAATGACGTTAAAAGAAAATATTAATAGCTTAAAAAATTAATCATGAGGTACAGACAGATAACGTCGAGATAGTTTTTTTTAGGATTAATAAGTAGTACAAAGTACAGCAACCTTTTAACATTTGTGTTTATCATTTCTGATAATATAATTTATAAAAAATATAATTGAAACAATTGTTATGTAGCTTAATGGGTCAATGCCTCGTAATATATATATATATATATATATATATATATATATATATATATATATATATATATATATATAAATTTATATATATATTTTTATTTATATCGGTATTTTAATTCTGAAAATGATACATTGAACAAAAATGAGCTTTCAAGTTTACGGCCTGTGTCGAACCTTGTGTTTTTGTCTAAGGTTGTTGAACGCATAGTCTTTCAGCAACTTGTCACTCACTTGAACTGTGAACATCAATAATCTTTTATTGGTTTACCAATCTGGTTATTGTCAGTTCCATTCGACTGAGACGGCTTTATTGGATGTTTGTTCCAATTTATATTCCTCCACAGATGCTCACAATGTGTCGTAGCTTGCTCTTTTGGATATGAGCTCTGCCTTTGATACAGATTCTGTTCAGATCTAATTTGACACTTGCTGAAACTGTGTCATATGGTGTTCCACAGGGGTCTGTTCTCGCCACCTTCTGTTTGTGTTGTACACTGCAGATGTTTTCAAAATCATTAACAGATATAATTTAAAACATCACTGTAATTGTAATCAAAAAGTTGTCTCTAGAAAGATATTTTTTGCGTTTTCCACATCTATAATGTAGGTACTGCACATACAACGACACTGACTGCAATATTCAACTTTCCCATATCTCAGAGCTTATAAAAGCAAGAAAAATTAAATTAATATTGTAAGTAATTAGAGACAAAACTGGTCAAAATATAACCATAAAATAATATTTTGATATGACAACGTAAAAAACCCTGCACCAAGGTGCAATCATCAATCTGCAGATGTTTCTCCTTAGATCAAAATTATTTTCTTCGTATCCTATTTGATTTACTTAAATGTGATCATACTTCATCTTATTACAATTTAGCGAATATTAGAAATATTTACCAATTGTATATAATTCAATTTTTACTTTTATTCTTTTAAATTTATAAATTGTTTCACTGTCAATCACTTTTTCAAAGCGCCCAAATTAGAAATCGGAACCGCGTTCCTGATAATCGATTGATTCACTCAAGTGTAAAAATATTTTCAAGGTAACAACAAAATTGCCACAGCGTAGTAAAAACTCCTTTATTCATTGTGCGTCACTTTGTAGTAACTAATGTTTAAATTTTATTTTTTTAGCATCTGAGACGGGAACAAAAACATCACATTTTGGCTTTTTTATTGTATGTAATCGATTGATTTATTTATACATTTCGTATTTAACAACTAAAAGTTGTGGAAAAACATTATATAAAAAGACTGAGCTGACCGCGCTACTGCATGCATTCTCTAATCTCTTTTTGGAAATAAGCGGTTTTAATATTTCAAATTGAAAAGTTTATTACTTCATTTAATACTTCTGAATATATATATATATAATGTTTTATAAAAATTACAGTTTTGAGATGTTGTCTGTGGCGTTTTGGATATCAGTCGGAATTTCTGCACCTAATTATGATTTCCTCTATTAACAATCAATTTTACATATGATAAAAATGTTTTCATGCGGTTACGTAAAAATAATTTTAGACTAGTTATATTAATAGTTTTTGTGGACATAAATTTTATAAGGTTTTTATCTACGTACAATTATTTTCAATTTTAAAACTTTTTGCAAAGAGATAAGGACTGCATGATGAATTTGGTTAACGTCAGATTAATTAAATTTTCATGATGAACTTGGATAATAATTCTATTTTCAACTAATTTAAAAATTTCCATAAAATTCTAGTAAGAAAAATTGAAAAGACAAGTTTTAAATGGATTAAGGCCAACGATTCGGTAGAATTCATGCAATAATGCATGGATATATATATAAATGGATATAATATATATATATATATATATATATATATATCCATGCAATACTGTATATGGTCTTCTTCTAACATATATATATATATATATATATATATATATATATATATATATATATATATATATATGATACGTATATACATATGAGTGTGTGTGTAGTGTGTATATATGTACATTTCGGGTGTGTGTAGTGTGTATATATGTACATTTTAGGTATATATAAACATATTTACCTAAAATGTACAGTACATGTATACACACTACACACTCGTACAAAATGTTTACACATTTGTTTTGGCGCTCCATATGTTGTTTTGTAAATTTTTTTCATAAAGATGCAGAAACGTTTACTTACGTATCATTGGTTGTACTACATAGAAAAGCATGACATAACATTTGACTTCTTTAAATTTTTTTATCTTACTTAGAATGACTTCAGTGTCTACTAGTGAGGTTACTGATGCTAATGAGTTTGCCGATCCAAGCAAGGATTTGAGTCAGATTGAGGATGAGCTGCACATCACAGATTGGCCCTCATCCTGCAGCTTCTCCAACTACATTTGTGGAGAAAATGAAACAAGAAGTTGTTTTAAAAACTTTTACGAAGTCGGTGACGCAATAAAACCAGTTATTGTTTGCGAACATACAACAAGTTTCCAGGGCGAAGACAATTTCTTAAGAGGAATCAAGTGGTAAGTTTTATTTGTGTAATCTGTAATGCATGGACTATTCATTAAAAATTATATATTTATATTTATAATACAATATCTATCAACAATTTGATATTTTATGTGCATTCAATATTATCGTGTAAAATGGTAAATTTGTAAATGTGCTAACCTGTCTGAAGTATTGAAAAAATAATAATAGAAAGATGTAAGACCAAGAATGACGTCACCTTTAATAGGATAATTGATTAAGGATTAGTCAATTATCATGAAGCAACAAAAGAGTGAAAATGAGAGTGTGCAAAAATTGTAATATGTTAATTTAATTAATCATTATGATTAATGCCTAATCAAGTACAATACAGTTAAATTAAAAGTAAAACTATTCAAGTATTTTGGACTTGAAAGTCAACACAGCCTCAGCTTTTTCTTTTGCTTGCAGTATACAATTACTTTAATTCGGGTTCTCATTTCCCATGACATGAGCACTTCAACTCTTGATTAAACATAGGCCATACTGAAAGAGCATTTGTGAGAAAATTTAGTTGAGAAAGTAAAGAATTCATCATCAGCTTTAGAGACAACTGTTGAAAGCTTGAAAGTATAAGTTATCCATCTCGTAATTAGTGTCTCGTTCAATTTATTGAAGAGTATCAAAGATTTGATCTCTTATTGATAGCTGTTCTTTTTTAGTATGTCAGTTAAAAAAGACGATTTTGTCATGAATATTAAGTAGGGAGGGATTTGCCTAGATTTAAATTGTATTATATGTTAGGAGAAAACCTCATCCACTGATTGTGTTATATTATAATACAACCACATGAAGATCAAAAATGAAATGACTTGATTTCTAATTTATATCTTGCTTTTCAACTGCCATATTTTGGTAGTTCTGCTTTGAAACAACAAATGTTGGGATTCAATTATGAAAAATTTGTAAACTCTGTATCTATATTACAAACTTACAAACTGGTTCAGCTATATCTATTTTATTTGTTTTGTATAATATGTTTTATATAATGTTGAACTTTTTTTTATCATTAAATTTTATTTCACCATACAGGTCTCCATGTGGCAACCAATTATTAACTTGCTCGAATGACAAACGTTTAAGAGTCTTCAACTATTTTCATGATTGCAACAAGCCAGACGAAGCATTAGTAAGATTTCAGTTTGTTAACAAGTGAATAAGTCAGACTGTATTGTTTCTATTAAATAAACCATCCTCATAGCATCATTTTATGGAAAAGTTGGGGAATTTTAGTTCCACACTCATATAATAGCATTAAAAAAAAGCAGAAATAAATTTGCATTTATAAACCTTGAATTTCTTCCTTTGCATAATTAAGTGTTCTTATAAATTGGTTATTACGTCGTAAATAAGTTGGCACTTTTTATTTGATATGTGAAAGTACTACCTAAGTACGTAAATAGCTATTACATCCAACATTAACTATAAAATTATTTTTGATCATTGTTACTTGTATGATGCAGAAACTGCAGAGTGAAACACGTGAGGGGGATTTGATATTTGATTTTGCCTGGTACCCCTGCATGAACACACCAGACCCTGCGACGTGTTGCTATGCGTCAACATGCAGAGACAATCCAATTCATCTCTGGGACTCCATGTCTGGTGAATTAAGAGCCACCTACAGAGCATTCAACCAAATGGTAGACACAAACTACATAATGATTTTTCATTTTCAGTTTTTCATTGTTATTCCCTTATTATGGTCAATGTTTGCTCCTGTTTCATTTGTAAAATTGTTTTAGATTGGATTGTTTGTGACAGGATGAACTTGTGGCAGCATGCAGTCTGTCGTTTGATTGGAATGGTGCAAAAATTTTCTGCGGCTTCGAACGAATCGTCAGAGTGTTTGATGTCAGTCGACCTGGACGGGATTTTGAAACTAGGCCCACTTGTTGTAGGTACATTTATTTTTTCACGTTGATTCTCAGTAAAGTTGCAAGCTTTTATACCTCTTAAAATTTTTATGGTGAAAAATATTTTTCATAAAAAATTATTATGAATTTATTTTGATTTTTCTCTAACATTATTATTAATTTATTATAATTCTTCCATCTTAATTTATGTGAAACAAATTTTTAAATCAGTACCTATGCTGTTGCCTTTCTCCATGCTAGATAAAGTTTTTGTTTTTTTAATGGTCCCAGTTTTTACCTACTCATCATTTTTTCATTCTGCTCAGTTATGTCGACTGTTCATTACTTTTGCTAACAGCTGCATTACTTTTAAGCATGGCGTCAGAGGTTTTTGCTGAAATATCAGCCGAAATTTTTTGAGAGGCAGTGGTTGGATATTTTTCATATGACTTCGAAAACTGTTAAGAAGTGGAAAACAAAGTTCAAATTTTTTGAAATGTTTTCAATGTGTTTTTTAAGTCATTTTAACCTTTTTTTTAAAAGATAAACAAGTGTACAAGATGCAATCATCTTTAATACTGGTAATTTTAACAAGTTAGAGAAAAATAAAATTTAAAACCGTGCTCATATATGTAAAATAATTATAACATTAATTTTTTCTGCTCACAAGAAAATTGTTAAATTTTTTTTGTAAATTTATTAATAAATTTAAATATATATTGGTTGGTCCTACTTTGAAACCCCAAAGACCAAAAGTGACCAAAAAATTCTCCTTTTAGAAGTTTTTTTATTTATTTTTAGTAAGTGTAATAGAAGTTTTTTATTTATTTTTAGTAAGTGTCATTTAATTATTTGACTTGATTCTTTTCTTTTTTGTTGTGCACGTCTTCACACAATTCATAACTGCAAGCACAGAATATAAACAAAGCGATTTACCTCCACTTCTCCTCCAGAATTACTAGCTATACAACTAACTTTCAATAACTACTAGATATGTAACTAACTTTCAATGACTAACCATAGACAAAATCTATGAGACATTAATGTTTGATATTTTAATGTTTGATATTTTGTGTCAGTCGAAAAAGAAGGACAGACTGGCCTGATATCTTGCTTTGCATTCAATCCTTCCATTGCACACATGTATGCTTGTGGGTCATATTCAAAATCTGGTAGGTTGGAGTGTACAATTTTTTAAAACTTGTCATATCTTGTATTTTTCAGTTTTAATATTTAAAGCAATATTTTTTACATCATTTATATTTTTTTTACAACATTTTTATGTTTGTAGGGCTGCGAGTTTAAATAAATTAACATTTGGTTTTTGTTTTCTGCAACTAGAGTAGATTTTAGATCGTAAATTGATTAGATTACTAATTTTGAATACAGAATATTTTTTTATACACTCATCTTGTGAATCATTGTTTTAGTATCAGTGTATGACGATAGCACTGGCGAAATGTTGTACCTCTTGTTGGGCCATCAAGGTGGACTGACGCATCTGAAATTTTCTCAGGATGGAAGCAAACTTTTCTCTGGGGGCAGAAAAGTTAGGAGTTTTGTCACTCAATTCAATTTAATTGCTTCATTTGGCAAAATGTAATCTAATTATTATAAGATTGAAAAGTCTATTTTATTTCGAATTATACTCACAGAAAATGAATATCATATGATTGTCTTTTTTTAAACGAAGCAAATAGGCCTTTCAAATGACAAGTTGTATTCTAATGCTGGTATTATTTATGAACTATGAGGCTACCATTTAGGGATGTTTCGTATCTGACAAAGCGAAAACAATTATTCCACGTCTTTGTGGACCTAGAAAAAGCTTTTAACAGAGTGCCAGGTGAGGCAATCGGATGAAGTCCACTTAGGTAGTATGTACCCGAATATCTTGTTCGACTGGTTATGGCAACATACGCACATGCCAGGACTTTAGTTAGTACAACAGCTGGTAATACAGATGAATTTGACATTAACGTTGGCATACACCAGGGCTCAATACTTAGTCCCCTGCTATTCACCACGGTGATGGAAAACATAACTAAATCAATACAATCAGATGACATCTGGAATGTAATGAATGCAGATGATATCGTCCTGACGCCAGCGTTGGAGCAGGATGTGACCAGAATGTTTGGGGTGTGGAATGTCAAACTCGCCTTTCATGGTCTCAGGGTAAATCTTAATAAAACAAAAGAGATGATCACTGGTGAATCTGCTGTTCGATCTGCAGAGCTGGAGTTGGAGGCAATTCAATAAAATGCATACGATGTCATCAATGGTGTCACAAACTCTGCTCAAAAATTACTGGTTCGCTAACGAAGGTGGTCGCGCGATAACACATTAGAAACTACAGGGATAGAAACTTTTTCATCGTTCCAATACCTGGGAGACGTACGTTCGTGCACATATACTCTTGGGTACAAACAATACAGGAAGACCTGAAGGCACTAAATGATCAAGAGGCTTGGAGACCGAAATTGATGTCAGGAATGCAAAGTCCAACCCGAAGCGGAAAAGAACTATAAACAAGGATTATAAAAAAAATCTGATGTATTCAAAAATTGAATTTATTCATTACATAACTGTTAACCTTTAAGTAAAATAGCCAAATGAACTTTTTTTGAGTTGTCACTTAATTGTTGATTTATAATATAATTGAGTAACGCGTTTCATATTTTACAAAAAATAATTGCGTATGACAGGATCCCGAAATTTTATGTTGGGACGTTAGAAAACCCGGTAAAATTTTGATGACGATGAAGAGAAAAGTCTTCACCAATCAAAGGATGTATTTTGATACTGACTGGTAAGTTTATGACTATTAAGTGACTATTAAGTGAAGCTCATAATTATTGCACTCGACTTCATTCAACTACTTGTTCTTACTGACTTCGACTTTTTTTAAGTTCAAATCTTCAATTCTAAATTTCAATACTACAGCAAAGACAGGACGCTGATAACAGGAAATCATGATGGGAAAGTTTCCATATGGGATTTAAATGAGGCGAACACACTTCCAACTGATGTTGAACCGATTCTGCCCCTCGTCAGGCAATTTGATGCACACGAAGACAATGTGAACAGCATAAGGTATACCCGTATTCTTCACGTTGTAAAAATTACTTTCAAGACATGTAATACTAATGTAGCGAAAAAATGTTTTATTAAAAGCCGTTTTGGGGTTTGGAATTTTAGAATAGAACATAGATGAAACTGTTAATCAGGGATGATTTTTTGTAAATGACAGTTGTCACCCAGTCCATCAAGTAGTAGCCACTGGCTCAGGACAGAGACATTTCAACGTCACTCTGGAATCATCTGATGAAGAGGAAGATGACAGAATGAAATGCGATAATTCTCTACGCCTGTGGACTTTACAAGAAGTTGCATCCTGACTATTATGTGATTTTTATATTATGATGTGTTCGTAAATGTATAATTTTTGTAAAATATAACATAACAATCGCCACATAATTCCAACATTTTTCTATTCAGAATAAAAACCAAATTAAAATTACAAATTTAATAATTGAAAAAAATTAATCTAGTTAGTGAATTTTAGATTTTAAAAGAAGTACAAGTTTGAGATTAAAATTTATTTCATTCAAGTAGGCGGTCGAATACGTTGCGTTAAAATTTTCAAACGATCGGTTAACACACACACACATTATTATATATATATATATATAATTACACCCACTCTACATTCAAAAATTTACCGGTCAGATATTAAAATATCCAAACTTGATCTACAACAAAAGGTGTACACACTGACATACAATTTTTAATTTACATATAGAAATAGTTTTTATATTTTTACATGTGAACAAATTTTAATTAAAAAAAAAACATTTTATTAGCTGTTAACAAATATTTGATTTTCAGTTTGCTAGTTTTACGATGCGCAGAAATAAACGAACGAACGAGTTTGATATCACAGAACGACGAATTAAGAGTAAACGTATCATGAACGCTACCAGTTATAAATTAAATTTAAAAATTTTGATGTATCATCAATAAAATAAAATCATTTAAAATAAAATAAATATGAAATTCTCGCAAAATTAAGGCACAAAAACTGAAATCATATGATGAGAGAGATTGATTTATGTTGAGCCGATGTGTTGATGTACCTGGGCCATTCGAAATTACACGCTCATTCTGCCTACTTGTTAGAAAATTTAAAAAGAAATGGTGAAGCACATGGAAATTTTACAAACTAAAAAATTCTACAGGTAACAAAATGTTGATATCATGTAGGTGACGAGGACAAAAACTTTTGCCGCTCATTCTGTTGTAATTGCAGATAAACTTTGAATTTATTGATTACGACCTTAGGCATGTCTTCATGTTTGGTCCTAGAAATTCTCACAATCTGAAGAATTAAAACGACGGTCGGCCAAGTCAAGAATGGTTACATTTCATGGCATAAATAAATTTTCAGGCGTTTGAACTATTTTTTTCGATTTAATGAAGGTTTATTGTTGAAAAAGAGCGACAAAATGTGATGCAAGCACGCTCATGCATTCAAGTCGTCATTATTTACTAATTAATGGAAACAATCATCAGAAGTGACACTCCAGGATTCCAATGAAGACATTCTATGAACCATTGTTTGTTTGTTTGTTTGTTTGTTAGGCTGCTTCCTGTTCATAAGTTTATTTGGCTAACGTAGATAATCTCATGGAATAGATGGGCTTTTACCTTTCTTACTGAAACCAATGGGGAAGTATAAGCCATTTCTGTTAACACAATAATTATGATTAACATCGTATTTTGGAGCGTTGTAGGGTGAGTGAGATGTTGAGGCTGGCGAGAGTAAGGTGAAGTTTTTATTTTCTTCATCTTTTTTGAACAGGAACGTTATTTGGGGCGGTGGTGAATTTTCGTTGATGCATGTTGTCGGGCCAGCAATGCTGACGTCGGTGGGATTGTCTTTGATTTTATCATTTATAAAGTCTTCCTGTATTTTCCGGCTGGTCATAGTCGGCAAATAAAACGTTGATTTCGATTGAGAATTTAAGTTGTTGTTAGTTTCGTTGATCCTGTGTGCGACGGCGGTCGAATAAATTGAAGACCTGTCATCTTGAACTTGATTGACCTCATCATCGAAATCTTGAAGTTGTGGTGGTGATGATGGAAGTGGTGGTGGCTGAGATGACTCGACGTGGTTGATGACATTCAATGGAGTCGTTAGTTTAATTAAAAGTGGAGGTGTTGAGCTCTCGTGATCGTCTTTACAGTTATTTTCATCAATTGTTTTGAAAATAATCGAACTGGACTTGAAAGTGTTGACGTCATCATTCTTCACTGGAATGTCTGAATTGATTTGAAGTGGTGAAACATCGGTGAAATCATCATCTTCGTTACTTTTACTTGATATCAAACCGGGCAGTAGCTTGCTGTGTGATGATTTTTGTGATTCAGTGGATGAGTTGGATGACCTTTTTTTGAAAGCCTCCCTCCTAGCCAATGAACTTACTCGACTCATCAAATATGTGGAAGGTGTTGTTGGAATGTTAAAGTTCTTATTTACATTTCTGCTGTTGACGTAGATGCTATTTGAAGGAGTAGTGGCATCATCAGAGCTTGTGGCAACGTGAATGAGTTTATCCTTGAGCGTTTTTGATTGAATGAGAGGAAGTGTTATTGTTGTTGTTGGGATTGTTCTAGATGATGTTGTCGTTGTGGAAAACTTTTTCAGAGCAGTCGGCAACACTGTCGTTGATGTCGTCCATTTCGGGAGTGTTGTTATTAGGTGAGCATTCCGAAAGAGATTGGGGTTCTGGGTTGAATGCTTGTTTTTAACATTCGTGTTGCCGTTCCTGGTTTCGAGAACATTTTTAACGTTGATAATATTTTGAATACTATTACTGATACCATTTTCAAAGTTAACCTTAGTCTTGATTATATTATTGTTCGTGTTTTCCTTCTTTGAGCTGTTCTTTAAATCATCTAACCTCTTGGATATGCGAGGCAGATTGGAGGGGATATCTGAAACATTCATCTGGTGATATCTCTTCTTCCACTGATCTGTCGACTCCATCAATTTCATCCTTCGAATGTTTATCAGTTCTTGACATTTGGCATTGTAGTCCTTGTTCTCTTCACTGCGTTTGGTGAATTTCTTAACGTTTTGATTGTTAATTGTTGTTTGTAATTGTTTTAATGAACATGTTATCTCCGGCTGTTGCTGCTTGTTCTGAGAGTTTTCAAACTTTTTCACAAGTTGTTGTACTTTGACTTTGTGATTCATGGCGGAGAGTCTTTTAGATGGTAAGGTGTTTGTAGCGTTGGTGTTGGTAGGTGTCCACTCAAACTTGTCCACTGCAGCATCATGATGCTTGTTGTTGCCGGCCCGGTCATCCTCACTATCACCAGATCCATTGAGAACGGTGCAGGCGCGATTGGGCGGAACGTCATATACGTGAGGACTGTCTAGTTGAGTGAGTGATGGCGATCTCACCAGCTCACTGCTCTGTGATGACTGCCTGCTCGTCGCTTGGCACGACCTCAAAGAGTGTTTCTGAAAAGAGATTCACCAAATGATATTTTAAAAATGCCGATACACTAAGTACATAAATTAATATATTAACCAGCGAAGGGTACAACACGACCACGTATAAAAAAGCAGAATTATGATCCGGGTTGAAAAGATAATAATAACACGAAAAGAGGTAATAATATTTAAAAACGAAATAAAAACAAGGGAATACGAACATCACTGGCGAGGATGTTGAGGGCATCGAATGTGAAGGTCAGGTCATCTCTACTGTCCGGCAGCATCTTAAAATTGTTGAACACATTTCAATTCCGTTGTTACCAAACATTGTCGACGTGCAGATATTTTTAATAAGGAAGCACCGTTAAGAAATATCAACAATCAGGGTACCAACGTTGCTGTATGTGCTGATGCCATCTACATCGGCAACACTTCTCGTCTCCATGTCTTTAGCTTTTTTGCTTGGTGTGGCCTGTTTGGACTCGGAAGATGAAAGCTGAACTGACGAGTTGGATAATGTACTGTAGGACGATGCCACGAACTGGTGTTTGCTATATGTATTTGCAGGAGGTTTCGTAAAAATTTCATATGATATTTTGTGAAACAAATAATTGAATCAGTTAGAAATAACATGAAAGATATGTACTTGTCGTTGGATGAGGACTGAATTGATTTGTTTCCAGATGATTTAGTTTTCGAAAGTTGGGGAGGTGAATGTGGAAGTTTTGATTTCGTTTGATTAGTTGATTTTCCTATGCTGCATGAGTCTAAATCCATTGGAAACTAGTTTTAATTAAAAAGAAAGTAATGCAAAGAACTGAAACTTCATTAATGAATGGCTTTTTTAAGTTTAATGAAATTCATCATCCACTTTGTGAAAACAAATAACATGCATAAAATAATCACCTTTATTATTTTTATTAAGCTTTCAAACGCTTTGTTCCTCTGCTTCAAAAAATTAACATTCATATTCTAATGATTCATATAAAAGAAATGCAAAATCAATTAATCAAAATCATCAATTAGACAAGATGAATTAACGGCATAACAACATCTAATTAATCGTTATTACTATTCAGCACTATCATTATACAGTCGTAATAGGAAATTTGTAATATTTAGGAAAGAATTAGTAACTTATATTAAGAATAATTATTAATAAATTTTAAATTTCAAACTGATTCAATGTTGTTAATGTGCTAATGATAAATTTGTGAATGGATAATGTGGATGGTGTGAACGCAGTGCATACATACCTTACGCTTCACACGTTTGCTATCGTACGTGGATATTTCTGCTTCAAAAGCATCATTGTAGCCCTTCTTGGCTTTTATCAAGTTCAATCTTTCCTCGATGAACTGCTGAAATATCTGCGACTGCAAACGATAATTTATTTGTTCTATCATTAGCCTGCTGAAATATGAATCGGAAGAAATGTCACACAAATCTTATTTATTATGAATTTAATAGCTGCTTTGATAATTTTCCTGCGAATCAAATTTTTATTTATATATTCACCACATTCGAAGTTTTATCTTAGCTCGTCTTTTAGTTGGCCTTCCCATATCTTCTCAATATTAATTCTGGTCTGAATATATGAAGGATCACCTTGTTTTTTTTTTACAAAAACTTTAAATCTTTAATGTCACCATTTCATAATATGAAATTTTGTATTAAAACTAAAAAATGCCCAGATATAAAAACAAATGATCAAAAATACTAAACAAGCGAACTGCTTCAATAGTAACTAGTTACATTGTGTGGCAAAATGCCCAAAATCATATTACTCTTTGAACAAGTATTACTCAGGAGAAAAAATTAATTATAAATAGAATCAACAGTGAGTAATGGAGAATGTATTGCACAACAAATTCTACAAAACAAGTGAATTAATGACTGGAACAATAATTACTAACATTATCAGTCATATTTATTATTACGAATTTCATAAATTATTTAAATTATTTTGTAATAGTTAGCTTAATCGTTTTTATCTGAGCAAGATGGTTGATTAAACAATCAAATATCGTGCGCTGATTAGGTGCCATCCAATGTATAGAACTTTAAACAACATAAACTTAAAACAATCCACAAAAAACATTTAACAAATCTGGTTTAATTCTTTCTCCAGGATAATAATAACAATAACAACACAATAACATTAAAAGTTTGTAACTATATTTCAACCCAACTAAAAGTTAAAAAAAATTCAAGACAGTGTACTTAATTGTCAACTATTTCAAAAAACATACTTCGAAATAAATTTCTACTTGGCATAACGACAACAAGTGCTAAATAGGTGACTTCATCGCTTAATTGAGTGATTGACTAACGCTACAATTGAAATTGTTGTAAGGGTGATGCAATTATGAAGCAGACAACTTCTACAACAGCTGATCAGATGATGATTATACACATTAGCTTCATGGTAACCAAACATCATGGTACGCGCACATTTAAACGTTAATAATAAATCACCAAGTAGCAAACAAATTTTGATGACTTTGTTAGCGTCTTTAAGAAGATTTGGTATTAATATAATTTGCTCACTGAACAGGTTCATCCGGGTAGCCGACCCCCGGCCAACCCAGCCGTCCATCCTTTCGAGGTTAGTAAATGGGTGGACGACGTAAGTTGTCGCATGATGGCCGGCTAGGTGGCTCAGTGGTTCAAATGCTCGCTAAGTCAAACATCTCAAAGGCTGTCATACACTCAGCGTATATGATGCGGTGCTTGCGCGTGCACATAAATCCATGTGTACCTCGTGTGAAAAGGATAAACAGCCTTTGTGGCGAAGATGGCTGCTTCAAATCAATGGTTGAAGATATGGAGAACATAATAAAATATAGATAGATAATATATCTGTAACATTGTAAGTGGCTCTGCGTATGTCAGAGCTGCAATAATAAAGATTAAAAAAATATCTTATAATCAATCAATCGTCATTTAAACGTCCGCAGCCTGTGTCACCAGCTCATTCTGTCCAAGGCATCTGCTTCATCCAGTTCAGCAGTTTTTAAGTCGCTTTTAATGGTTGTTAGCCATGTTGTCTTCAGACGCCGCTTCCAAACAACAACAACATCGACATTCATAATAATAATAGAATTATAATAGTTTTTAATGCTGTATTCTCGCTCCGTTTTACATGACCGAACAAGCGCAGCCGAATTTTTTTGCAAAGCTTCCCTTATTGAGTCAAGCCCGCCACGAAACAATATCTCAGCAGATATCTTATAATTAAATTAATATAATTAATGCGTTTAATTAATATCTTATAAGCTGCTAAAATGTGCCGAAAGCCGTTTTTCCAGAAAAACATGCACCCGTATAAAAATAAAATTTGATGTTAATACAAGTAAGATGTGCCAACCTGCAGCACCACCTGCAGAAAATTCTTCATGTGTTTGGGTCGACTTTGTAGGAACAAGCCACTATCGAATACAATCTCTTTGTCTTCGTTCATTTTAAATGCTGTTCTGTAGCCTCCTTTGTGAGTGAAACATAATTATTATTACTATTATTAGTATTACGTTGTGGTTTCTTAAAATTATTTTCCAAAGCGCATTTAATTAGACAAAGCATGTACATTAATAAATTAAAAAATTATTGGCATGATATTCAAAATTCGCGACAAATTGACACCGTATACCATGATACTACTTTACTACTCATTCTTCTATCCTTACTTCATATATGGCAACGTTTTCTCTGGATCTACTCCAAATATTTAATTGATAAACTTCTAGTACTAGAAAAACCTTATCACGCGTTTGTTTTTACATAATAAGTATACACACTGAACACTTCTCTAAACAAAAGATTCTAAGCATCTATATATAAAGTCATCCATTATGATAATTATCAATATTTAAACCCCTATGAACTAGAGAGCGGAATGTCACGTTTAAGAAGTAGGACTGTTACAAACGATCGAAATTGGTCTATATATATTTATGGAATGAAACCGTATGTAATGAAGCCAGAGCTGTGTCTATAGGTTCTTTTATAGTTTTTGTGAAAAAAAAGATTGATCAGTTTCAGTATTGTATGATTTAACATATTATAATTGGTTTAGTCAATATTTTTATTTGAATCTTCATTAAATTAAATTCATTTGATTTTGGTTCAAACTTTTTGTTTATTGCTTATTTGGTTGTTAAGGTTTTAGCTCATCGTTCTATAATTGATCGCATTGATTGTAAGAAAAAAAACCCTTAGATAACCAAAGGTTTGTTGGTGTCATCTGCAAATGAAGATAAGCTATATGAACTATATTTAAAAAACCATAGTACAGTAAATAAGCAATCTTATAATAAATATAATAATATGTTCATCACAATAAAGCATTACTGGCTTCAAACGTGAAGACACCACTCATGGCGGTTGCTGCCGATACCTCTGAAGAATACATCAGGAAGAATCGAAAAATAATAAATAATGCGCGTCAAATAAAGACAAATTTAAAAATTTGGTTACAAATTAAAGATAAAAAAATAAAGATTAAAAAATAAAGACAAATTTAAAAATTTGGTTACAAATAACCAATCAACTTTTTAAAAATATTTGTTGAATTGAAACAAAAAATGTTCGCGTTATAAAAAATTCAAAACAGAACAACATAACGATAACTAAAAAACTACATTCATTTCTTATAAATAAATCAAAACCATTATTAAACTTTTCAAATAAACTTTTTATAAATATCAGTACAAATGCTCGTTTTCAGAATTGACACAACATTATCTACTACGGATTGCAGAAAACGAAAGTTAACTAACCAAAGATGATAACGAGAACTTTAAGAAAGGCCCGAGGAATGATTTCACCGTCCAAGTTTTTCATCTTCGTCTTCACGTTCAAGTACTTCTTCAATTTAGCAAGCTTTGCATGAAAGAATAAATTGAAGTACTTCAAATCACTTAATGTTCCATTTGATAATCTAAAATTTGTCATTCAGCCAAATGACTTGAAAGAAAATAATGAGCATCAAGCCACACCAATAGGCAGGTGAACATCAGTAACAACATTAACAACACATCAACAACAACAAAAATAATATAGGCATCAACAACATTAATAATGACAACATCTACAAATGCATTAGCAACATCAATAATAACATCAGTAACAACAATAGCATTAGCAACAACATCAATATAAACAACAACAAAACAAACGAACCACATCGGGTGGGAAGTGGTCAAGGTCATTGAACTCTGACAGAATATCGTTAGCATCTGCGTCCAGAACCAACGCATCACTCAAATCATCCTTGTTGATTCGCTGACGTGACAATAAACAAATATCAATATACAAACGTGAATTTGCATAATTCAATCTGATGTGTATGCACCATGTAAAAACTATTCAAAGCTTCAATTTATTTTTCAATGTACAACACACACACACACACACACACACACACACACACACACACACACACACACACACACACACACACACACACACACACACACATATATATATATATATATATATATATATATATATATATATATATATATATATATATGGTATACATTAAATAAAGGAAATGAAAAAATATATATATATAATATCATCTGCCATTTTGTCACTTTAGCTAATAAACTACAAATACTCTACCAGACGGTAGGCACATAAAACTGTTTTCTATCTTGTCAAGCCCTACTAAACTGTTTTAATTTCACTTAACTTCAACTTCATTACCGTCAGATCTACAGACATATTTCATGACAAGTTTCATCAAACATGGAAATGACTTTTTTCGTTAACGTTTATACAAACACAAGGACCCACGAAATGCAAACGTTGTACTAACATTCCAGAGGGAAGTGTGGATCCCAATGAGGAAAGGCATGGGAGCACTGGACAAAAAACAAACAACTCAATTGTATCAGTTCAATTGTGTAAAAAAGTAACATCTTTAATTCAGTAGCAAAATAATTCGCTCTTTTAACATTATGTAAAATTTAGTTTTTATTATGCAATTCAATATTTGATTTAATTTAATTAATTTGAAGTATTAATTAAATTCTTTTTTTTTTCTAAATAATGAATATAAGCTAACTCATTGTGGTAATATCATACACCATTCGTAAACTTTAAAAACGAAAAAGTAACGAAAATAGCTGACAAGAAAGTGGACCATCAACTGCGAATGAACAAAAAAAAAACAAAGAACAGAAAGCGGTAAATGTGAATGATGAAACCTGCAGAAGTCGAGAAGATGTGGAGGCAGTATGGGGATGAAGATATGTTGCCAGTGGAAAGGGAACAAGAGATGGGCTGCTGTGTGGATGCATGCTGTCAGCTTGCTCAACTTGTGGCTCGTTACGATGATCCGCCTCTCCAGCAACATGCTGCAATCAATTGACACATGGATTCAAATAACAATAATTATATTGAAAAAGAAATAATGCTGTGATTGATAAAACGTTGGAATCAAGAATAAAACTAGATTTAAAAATTTCTTGTTGATTAAATTTGGCCCATAAATTTTTACTGTCTACACTCTGCATCTGGCATCTGCTCAATAAAATTTTTAAAAAGTTTTAGCGAAACTTTATAGCTTTAACATTCAAAACGAAAAGAAAAAAATAGATGAACAAACCTTGCAAATATTTGCATCATATTTTTTGAGTCAACCGCGCAATAATATTCAGTGAGGTTTCTCTGCAAATGAATTTCACATCAAATAATTTCAAAGTTGTTATCAAACTGACATTGGCAAAACACTGAACGTGCAACAAATTAATTTGAAAAAAATTTCTAACAATAGTTTGTGATTCATAAAATTTGTTTGAATATAAAAAAACAAATGAGAAGTAATAAAAGATGAACAAAAGTTCAAAATGAAAGTTATCAAATTTTTAATTCCACAAACATGCCCTCCAAACAGGAAACCATTCAGACAACACCAAACATTGAACATACTGATTGTGGAATGGACATGAGCTTTGTAGCATCTGGAACTTGAAATACAAAAACCTTAAAAAAATTCAAAAGTTTATAAATTTATCAAAAATATTTTCACATAAAAATCTACAGACAAAAGAAAAAATTGTGAATTCGTAGAAATTATTAACGGCAATACATTTTAAGATAAAAAAGACAGCTGTGTTTTCGTGATAGCAGTGATCAAGCCAAATAATTAGGTAAGTAACGAAATAATCAAAAAACTCTTGGTAGTACAGATGATGAAGTGAGTTCTCTGTTTGATGCGGGTTCAGTGCTGTTCAGGTAGTTTATGCGCAGTAAGGAATCAATCCATTTGTTTATGTACGACACTTGGTGGCTGTTCATGAGATCAGAGAATTGATTGAGCAGTCTATAGAATATCTCAAACCATGGATGGCAACTGTTTCAAAATATAATGTTCATTTAAATAGACTCTATCAATATCAGGAGGAAACCAACAGATACTTTTAATGACATTCGCACAGCTTTAAATTTTCAATGCACTAACAAAGAACAATCTGCTTAATAGATTACACAAAATAAGGAACAAATAATAAACAGAAGTATTCAAAACTAAAAATTTTTAAAGATGAAAAGAAGAAGAGGAGCAACCTAACAACACAGTGACAGAGCTTGGAGCCTTCAGACAATCTGCAGAAGCCAAACTTGAACTTGCCATCAATGTCAGTCAGCACAAATGTGAAGTGGTCAACTATGGGACTATGAAAAGTATTTTTGTGTTTCAACAATCATGAATATGTAATGAAATTAAATGTGAAAATTATCCAGAAGATATTGACTTAAAGTTTATTAAGAAAGTTTAAACAAATAACTTTCAGGACATGATCAAATCAAACAAGCATAAGAAAAGAAAAAATTTGTTGATTCAACAGTTTTAGCCTTAGAGACATGCATATTCAAAAGAAGATCATGAATATATGATTATTGACATTTTCTATCCATCCAACTTTCAACTATTTGTCAACAATCTTTTTGGCGCCACATCACCTTGGGTATTATGTAGTGCAGGTCTCTCCATACATGATAAACATGTCATGTTTTATATTCAATTCTATTCTAAATTTCCCACATTCAATTATACTTTAGAAGGCTATAACCTTAGTATTTCCTCTGTAAGAGCTCCATTTTTCAACAAGTACAAGCTTTTCCTCTTCTATATCTTCGTCATACAGAACATATAACCTTATAATCCTTCTCTGCAAACATTTTTGTATATCTTAATAAGTTGCACTCCTTACTGTGATCCAATTCTCATTCACTATCCCATATTTTCAGTTTCATACATTGTCTCTAATGCTAATCCAATCACGTGTTTATATATATACATGTAGAGCATTACGTAGTGTAGCTCAAACAATTTCATATGAAATTAGAATAACACTTATCCTATTAGCCGCATTAATAGTATCTATATCTATACATATCTCTATAATATCAAATTACTTATATACAACAATCATGATAACAATATCACAAACTCTATTTCACTGATGCTGGTAAAGGTTACCGAAAAAAGCTTTTATTATTATTATAATAATTATTATTATTATGATAAATTTATATAAAGCGCCAATTAAAAAAGTTCTCATAAGCGCTATCAGTAAGTTCACAAACAAAGACAAAAATAGCTGAGATAGACATGGAAAAACAAAATGAATATCACATTGAAGATATGTCTTTACAATATTCTTAAAAGTGTCAACAGTTAATCGCATTGAAAATAAATATGTCTTCAAGTTCTTCCTGAAAATGTCAATGGTTAATCCCGGCATTCGCAATGATCCAGAAAGGGCATTCCAGACCCTTGGGCCAAACACACCAATGTTTCTTGCCCCTGTACATAACAGAGCATTATTAACCATCGTCAGATTTGAATAATCACTTCTCAAGCTGATGCTTTCAGAAACCGCAGATCTCTTTTTAAGTTCATCCAACAAATATACAGGCAGTTGTTCATTCATGACCTTGAACATCAGAACACATATTTTGAAGATTATTTGCTTTTTAACATACAACCAATGGAGATCCCTCAATGTCTGAGTCACATGGTCAAACTTTGACCCTCCAACAATAAACTTTTATGTAAATGTATATATGAAAAATGCAGTCATATCACTCAGCAAACAATTCGTACCATTTATATATACATATACATATATATATATATATATATATATATATATATACGTCCTACCTCAAGGAACTGGGTCTCTGGCACTAAACGAAGATTGATTGTATATATATATATATATATATATATATATATATATATATATATAAATGGTACGAATTGTTATATATATATATATATATATATATAAAAGAAAATGTATACGTATACACTCATAGAGATAATATGTGAAAATGCATTAAATTATAAAAATACCATCAAAGTGTAATATAATAAAAATGAAATAAAGGCAAGAAACACACCTTTTAAAGGATGGATCAAATGGAAAAACAAATTTTTTTATTGATTTCAAGAGTTCCTACAAGTTTAAATTTTATTTTATTTTATTATTTAATGAAATAAATTATTGTTCATTCATTAAAGGTTAGTTGTGAAATAAAACAATTAAAAAAATTTCTGTAAATAAAGGTAAAGAGAAACGTTAAAAAATAATGAAATGAATGACTTTTTACATTTTTTAGAGATATCAGCCAAAAACACACACAGCGCATATAAAAATATGCATAAAATAACACATCACACACATGGCAAGTAATGGGTGGGAATCTATCTGTATTTCAACCCAGCCGGCCACTAAACAGCAATGCTAGGAACTTTAGCCTTGGCAGCATAAGCCACTCAAGTTTCGGACCTCATTGAAATCAGCATCTTTCTTTAAACAAACTCACAAATAAAATATATCCAAATGTATCAATTCTAGTTAAAAACTACAAATAGAAATTGTAATAAATTAAGAAAATTTTGAAAGCAAGCTAAGTTCTCAATCAAGAAATATATGATGGTGACAAAGGAATTTGCCAAAGAGCCAACAATCCACATTTGAATTTGTCTAAATAATTTAAACAATACATATGTAGGGTATAGACGGAATAATAATAACAAAGACAAGCTGGAACAATCTTTCAATCATAACTAAGTAGATAATTAGCATAGATGCCAGCCACAGTAAGTAATTAACATGTAGAGTTAGAGTTAACATGTAGAAAACCTGGTCAATAATTAATTATACCAAAGGGTTAACTGTTGCATTGAGTGAATAATTAAAGGTGAAAAGTTAATTGAAATCCTCACAATAAAGCTAACCACCTCATCAGCATTAGCAGGATACATAAAACTGAAGGAGCCCTCTATGGAAGCTGAATATAATGAAGATGTTGAAACTCTATCTTCGTTGTTGGGACTATCTTCTTCCTTCCTTTCAACTTCAACAATCACTTCAAACAATTTCTCATCTGTCCTGCAAAGTTTTATGATTAATCACCTCAACAAAGTTGCCATAAAATGAACTGAGGAAAGCCAATAATGTATAAAGTAATAAAACTAACAACCAAATGTTTGAATGATGATGTTGTAAGAAATGAAGCTTCATTGGAAAAAAAAATTATATCTTTATCCAGAGAAGGACAAATTGATCAGCAAATGTGGTTATAATAATTATTTCTTCCCCTAAAAAACCTGATAACGGTATATTGGACAACTAAAAAACTTTGTATTGACTGCCAGTGCAAGTATCACATATCTTAAAACATGAAATCAAGATTATGACCGTAACATTATATGCACCACCTTATTTTTGTAATCTCCTACATCTTGGACATCACACTGGTGACATTATAATTATGAGATATTATACATATACAAATTGATATATTTACATTACACACACATGTGTGTGTGTCTTCGTGTGTGTGTTTATGTGTGTGTTTGTGTGTGTATGTGCTTAAGTAATGTTAAGATACATCATTATAACAGACAATAAAATTGTTTAACATTATATTTTATTATTGAGATTTCCATTTTATTAAGATTTCCATTTAACAACCAAACCAGGAGAACAGATATCATAAATCAGCTGTGTAACTTGAAAATTAAATAGAAACATGACAGGTTGATGAGTGATGTGTGAAGAAGCAGGCATAATAATGATCATTAGTTCTCTATCTGTATGAGACATGTTAAATTAATCTACATCCTAGTTCATGAAAATTTCAAATCAAATAGCCACATTTAATAATATCTAAACAAGCTAATAATAATAATAATAAGAATATTATTATTATAATTATTATTTATTATACTATAAGAAGTAGGGTAGAAGTAATAAGTGTATAAGTATTAATATAGTAGTAACTGTAAGGACAGTAGTAGAGATAGTATGATGGTAGTAGTTGTATCACAATTACCACATTAGCTGATCAGCAGCCAATGATAAATCATTGAAAAAGCAACAAGTAACAATATTGAAGCAAATTCTTAACCTATTAGTCAGATCTGATATTAAATACAAATAGAACAGAAAACAATTCTCAACTTTCGAAACTGAGAATGAAAAATAACTTATTTGCAAACATTTTAACTTTTCTTAATGACAGACTCAAATGCATTCTTATAATATAACTAAAGTGGTCTGATGCAGAAATGAGCATTTGAAACAAAAAAAATGGAGTACATTTCATTTAATTTGGACTTAAATTCATTTCTTCACAATAAATAACTTCTTATGATTATTTGAAGTAGTGATACATATTTATATATAACAATCTAACTCAGATGTAGATTATCTTCTAATACAGAGTCAAAACAAACCAGACCATGGTTCAACAATCCATTAATCCCCACCATTTCAATGCAAAAGAGAATCACATCTTCGCATACAATTAACTGGCTAAAAAGAAATTTCTACTTTTACCCTTCCTAATCTGATATTAATTGAATGTTTTTGCAGGAAGCAACATTAAACTTTCATAAAGCAAAATAAGATCATAAACAAACAAATAAAAGAGACCTAGGAGTATTATATTTCCAACCAAAAAGGATCAATATTGAAATTAAACAATGGAGCATGTTTTATTTACATTTGGTCAATTCATTTTGTTTTCCTAAATTTATATCTTGCAACTGAAATTGTTTTCTTGAAAAATTGTGAATGTATTGTAATAAGGAACATAATAGGAACATGAAATTATTGAAATGAAAAAAATTACAAATTGGATAATAAATTAAATAACTTTCCATTTCAATGGCTATCTTTTTTATTTGCGGTTACATGGACCATCAAAAGATATCATTAAAATAAAAAACATTGTCACAAACAAAAATATTTCATGTAGTAACATCAAAATATTTAAACAGCACTTTTCTTTTCCTCCAACCTCACAACAAACCTGAAACACTCTTGGCTGAAACAAGTCAGAGTTGCAAAATTTTCCTTACTTAAAAAATCATTAAAATAGCAGACAGTTTCAAATTACACATAACAGATATTACCAAACTGATTGGCTACTTTTGTGTCAAACAAACATATACTGTCTGACCACAATATATGTCAGAATTAAAAAGACCTACATTTACTAGATTTACATTAGCAATCTCTAAACTAACCCTTTCATTCAAATCATTCTGCAAAGCTCTTGGTTTCATCTTGGGTTGCTCAAATAATATATCATGCCACAATCAAACCATAGTATAATCACACTTTTCAGAACAAACTGATCAATAATTTCTAAATCTCACCATGCAAGCTGTTTCAGCCTTGCACTCCCATTATATTATATGGCAGGTAGGTGTGTGATAAGGTAAGGTAAGGTAAATTAAGATATGCAGTGTTCATTTTATTATTAAAATATATTACACATTTTTTTACTTAATATTTAAAGGTACTTTTAGACTTTAGATACCCCAGACCTGAGTAGAATATGGTTTCATACATACATAATAGACATGGCGCTAACAAGTATACCATTCAAGATTCACATGGTATTATTATAATACAATTTATTTATTTATTTATATAAAAAGCAGCATTATTATAAAAATTAAAGAGTTATTAACAAATTCATATTAATATTTAATTATTATATGCCAATTTCAATTAAATAATTAATAACTCTTCTGTAATATAAATGAAATATCAGTACAATACAATACAGTACAAGCTAGTTCAGTTTAATTTAAAATGTTTTGGCTTTCTTTTTTTAGTTTTAAGTTTAGTTAGTGATATTTATAGTCTTTATTTATAGTCATTAAGATTTAATATTTTAAATTTAAGTAATCACATAATAATTATCATAAACTTTATAATGACTCATTCATAAAATAAAGATTTTATTAACCATACAAATTATTTTGTTTCTATAAATATCACCTTCAAAATATGAATTTTTAAATAATAAAATTTACCTTATTCTTGATCCCATGATTCCTGGATAGAATTGGAAGTGTCAAGTGGATTTCAATTTTAATTTAACTTTACTTACTGTTTACAACAAAATTTAACTAACTTGTTTTACTTATTTTCTCTTATTAACTGTAATTATCACTTTTATTTTACAGCCATTGTGTAAAATATTTGAATTCCGATTTAACAATTATAATAATTACAAATCATTGTTAAAAAGTGTGACACCATAATAAAAATGGGAGAATCGAATTGACCAACAATCCAACAAAGAACAGAACTATCAACCAACCAACCAAAGTAGCAAAACCAAACCAAACACTCACCACAGGTTTCTCTCTTAGTCTGACTACTAAATACTGAATACAAATAAAATTTTCAAAAATTAGAATTTTCAGAAATTGTCACAAAACGATTCACTAACAACTGGACAGATCAGAAATCAATTAGTATCACAACTCAACGTTTAATTAATTCCATGGATCCATTTATTAATCTCTCACCTCATCATATGGAATTTATATCCAAATGACTTCTCGTTTACATACAAACTCAGGCTTAAAACAGGGATGTCCTAATGTTTTATTAATAGTTTCTAATGCGGTTTTTTAAAGTATATAACTAAAATATTAACATTTTTAATTATGTACAATATGTATAAATGTTAATAAATTATATATGTATATATGACCAAAAACCATAAAATGTCTAAATCAGAAATTTGTTAATGTAAATTATCGCTTATTATATTTTAGTAGCACAACCCAACGTTTAGTGATACAAAATTACCATTAAAATAGTTAAAATTTAGTGGTACATAATTAACATTTTAGAACTGCTTAAAAACGTGTCCTAGATTTTCAGAAGAACTTGGAAAGAACAAACCCTCATAAACCCTCATTAACTTTGACGTCAAAGTTAATCTTGACAAAGTCAATATTTCCCTATATATACAACAAGGAGCACTGACGATGATTCATTCGGAATCGAAATATGGCCTTATTTGCAGCATGAATTCGAAAAATAAGTTTATTTTGAATTTTAATAAACTAAACGTTCACCAAAAAACTTTAGTGAGAAAAATCGAAAAAACGAACTACAAACATATTAACGCCAAACAT